GAGGAGACGTCCAATCCTTCGATCGCAATCGCAAGATGACGAAACTGTGATGTTGAGTTATGTTTTACTACCTTGTTAACCTTTGACATGAGGCCAGCTGCAATTATCTGGTCGGTCGAGCCGGGCGAAAATGGCCAGAGCCCCTTCAAATCCTTCGCAGCAACGGTTTTAATGTCAAAAACATCCGCGACCCAACTGAAAGCCAGCTCGCAATGCGGCGAAGCCGACGCCGCCGCCCAGACAACATTACGACGCCAGCGCTGGTAGTTGGCAGCGACGAAGATCTCTTCCAATACTAGATTATCCGTCTTGCCTGCGTCGTTCCAAGTGCGCAGTGGCTGGAGCCACATCCATCAGCGGGAGCGCGGGGCCATCGCCGCCGCCGACGCCTCCGGGCCCAAGCGGCCCTCCGCCACGCCAGCGCCGGCGAACTGGATTGCCATCTTCTTCTCCCTCGGGTGTTGGGCGCCAATCGCTTTCAAGGTAGAAGTCGCCATTGTCTTCGTCGTCGAAATAACCGTCATCTCCGCCGTCATCGCCAGGGGGGCCTGAACCTGGATGTTTCGGCACTGGTGCCTTCCATGAGGGCGCCCACTCCTTCTCGTTGCCATGCTGTTTGAAGATGCTCGGCGCGCTCCCCGGCGCTGGAGGTGCGCCCCCGGGGGAAAGAGGTCGCCGCGCTGGCGCGAGCCGCCCCCGAGGTGGCATTCGCCGGGGCGGCGGCCGCCCTGGCCCTTTCCTCGCGCATTTATTGGAATCCACTCTCCGCTCAGCGCGCTTCCTGGCTTCCTCTTTTCGCGCTGCATGGCCTCTTCGAGCTTTTCTCTGAATCTTCGGCCCTCGCAGCTTCTTCAAGCTCAAGCAACCTCTCCAAATCAATGCTCTCGGCCCGGCAATCGCAGCTGCCCGAGGCGCAGCCGCGGGCGCGAACCAAACGGGCCGAAACAACCGATCACGAGAGACCACCCTCGGCGCAGACGCAGCGGCACTGTTCCTGAAGTTTGTTCCTTGCTCGCTTTCAGTCTCCTGAAGTTTTTCCTTAGCTTCATTCTTTCAAGCTGAGGGGCCCCCCCGTGGCGGCGCGGGCAGATCTCGCCACCCAGTGAAAAGCGGTGGTCACGAACGCCTTATTAAAGGAAGGGCAGTCGCGAGTAGCCACTTTGGAGCTCAGATGACACCGCAGAGCTCACGCACGGGGGCCCCGACCCGAGTTCCCGCGCGCGGCCGGTCGCCCAACGGCGGTCGGTGCCGACGAACGCGCCGTAGACGCCGCCGCCGCGCTCGCTTGGGTCGCCGACCTGGCGCCCGCAGTTTTTGCCGAGCCTGCTCCGATCGGGCGCCGCTGGATCGGGCGCTGGTCAAGCATGGGGAACAAAACTGCCCCGCTCTGCTTCCCGACTCTTCATCATCCGGGCGGCCTCCAGTTCTGCTGCGCGAGTATTCGCTGCGACGTCCCCCTCAGCTGCCACCTCGACTTGTCGCATCTCCTCGCGGGCGCGAAGCATCTCGGCCTCGATGCGAGCATAGCTCTCATCGGTGAAGATTCGGTTCGTCTCGGCTTTTATGTTGGCTGCAATTTTTTATATTACAAACAAAAAACACGACAGCCTCTGCGGCTAGACGCGCGTTCCGATTCCCTGCTGCGTGCATCTCCTTGGCGGCCTACGGCGCAGTCGTTCGCTCGGCTTCGCCGGCCCCCTGGGCGGCGCGTCTCGTCTGCGAGGTGCCTCCCATAGAGATGTGCTCGACGCTCGGAGGCAACGGTAGTCTGCAACCTGCTGGTGAGCTATCTGATTTCCTCTGTCGCGGCAGATGCCCGTCGAGCTGCCGCCGCCTGTTGACGCCCTTCGAGACAACGCGCGGCGCTCGCCATGGCCTCCCGGTCTCGCTCCAACTGGCGGGCGGCAACCGCTCGTTGTTGCGACTCCGAATGCCTCAGTTGCTCAAGCATTTCGGCAAGATACCTCTCCCTTCTCTCCGTAATATCAAACCTCTTCCTGTCCCCCATCTGCGCGCCGCTCGCCCTCGCGCAGCCCGGCGCAGCTGTGCGAGCCGGGGGCAACGCGCGCCAGGCATGCGCAGTTTAGGTAGCAGGGGCCGCAGATGTCACCGCGCTGGGAACAGACAACCTTCTTGCGCTGACCCCATAAGCCAGGGCACAGCGACTCTGGCACTGCAGCGCACTTCGGCACATGGTTGGCGCGCGCGGCGCTACTGCGCATGCTGAGGGCGCTCGACCTGCCCGACAGGGTGGACAGATCTGACACCTCAGATCGCTGTCTCGGGGCACTGGGCCCGACCCTCTCGGTGCTGCTCTTGCGGGCAGAGCGGGCGCGTAAGTCAGGCGCCCCAGACATTGGGGTCGGCGCTCTCTGACCCCTTCCGAGGGGGGCGCGGCGGGGCCCCAGAGCATAGCTTCCGGGCGCTACCCCCGGAGCGAGCCCAGGGTTGCACTCCGGAGCGCCACCGGATCTACTTCCCGAGCGTCGAAGTCTCGAAAGACTAACGGGCTCGCGTCTCTGCTTGCTCGTCACCCTGACGGGGCCGCCCGCGAACTCTTCATCTACGATATCCTCCGCATTCCGTTCCAAAGAAGCGTCGGGTGGAATCGCGCGCCTGCGCGGGGGTTGGAAATCGCCCGATGGAACAAAAGACGAACTGTCATAGACCTCCTCTCCCCCGTTGCGAGGCCAACGATCACCGCGAAAACCAATTGGCCTGGGCGCTGACCTGCGATAGAAATTCCCCCCCGACGAAATTGACTCCACATCGCGGTCCCCGTCCGAGAGGTGATTGGGGACATCGGGCGGGTCAACGATTGGTACGAGGTCCTCTTCATCTTCTTCGTCTCGGTCGGGTCGCGCGGCGCCCTTGATCTTCGGAGCGCGAAAGCGAGGCTCGTCACCAAACGAGAAATCCCAACAAATCTCGGAGGATGGACGTCGGCTCGATTCACCCGAATAGCTGGCATAACCCTATTCAGGAACATCCGCACTCGCATCATGGCGCGATTTTTCTTTAGGGCGTACATCATCTTTGGGTGGATGGAACGTAATTCCCTCATCTGAAAGAACCACTTTCGTCGAAGGGAGAACGTTCGGTTGGTAACTCGTAGTTTGCCACCTCATTGCTGATATGGGAAATAGCTTGGCCATGTTGATCGGCAACCTGCGACGATCGCCTCGCAAGTGTTCAATGTCATCTTCTTCCTGTACTAGTCTCTTGCTCAAATTGATCTTCAATGTCGGTGGTGTATCCCTTAATGCCATGATTAAATGAGTGTGACGGTGTCCGTGAAGCTTTGGTTAGCAACAAGATATGAGTGGGCCAGCCGGCCGGGGGAGGGCGCCCAGAGGGCGCCCGGGAGGCGCGCGCGCCGGGCGGGCGGGCGCGATCTTGTTTCTTGGACCAGCCCACAACCGCTGCGACGAAGCTGTGGGTCAGAAGTGGGCACGGGGGGGTGACTAAATCAACCCAGAACCCCCAGGATGCTGACGATGTTGTCCGTTTCGGGCTTCCCCTTGCGCCTCTTGTAGCTATCTTGGAGCCTCTTTTGAAACTTGTCCAGCCTCTCTGGACGCGTGGGTATCATCCTCCAGCCGTCCCAGGCCGTCCAAAAGGCCTCCTGGAGCCATCTGGGCTCGTCTGGTTGCCCTGTTGGCCCGTCTGGAGCGCGCCCAGGAGGTTTCTGGAAAGCATTTCAATACGCCAGAACTAACTCCCTACTGCTCCCACGAACCTCTCCATGTCCCTCTTCGGTTGTGTCCCCCGTTGTCACAAACCTGTTCGTTGGGTGCTTGACGTCGTTTTCGGAGTCGTGTCGGGCTCTCTCGGGGCTCTCTCGAGGCACTCTCGGCGTTGAACGGTTCTTCGGGGCCGACCTCGAGGGCCCCCCAAGAGGCCTCCAAAATGCCTCCGGACACCCCCACGACACCCCAACGAGTCCCCGTGAGGCAACCAAGAGGGCCCCAAAGAGGCCGCCATGAGGCCCCCGAGAAGCCTCCCAAGATACCCAAAAAGGAGCCTCCCTGAGAGTCCGAGTGTCCACGACCCAACCTTGCCGAAGGCTCTCCTGCTCCCCCAAAAAACCCCTCCCAGCGGCCTCGTCCGCAAAGCCGAAATCGACATCACAAGCTCCCTTTTTTCGCCAACCCCCCATGTAATGTGACATCTGGGTAGCATTTGCCGTTGCCTGCGACTGCTGGGCAATTTCTGGATACTCGTGAGCCCCCCTGTGCTAAACTGACCCTCTGTCGCGCCCTCCTTTTTCGGCCCCCCCCGTCCGCCTTCGCCGCGCAATCTCTGCCTCCACGGTCCGGCAAAAGTGGGGTGGCGGGCGCTACCTGCTCCCCGAGGGGCCCTCAATCAATAACTGATCACCGAGCCTCCCCCCTAATGCAAGATCGGTCAACATCGAATCGCAAAATTTGATCGAATCGAACTGGCTGCGCAGCGCCATGCAGCCATCGGGCCGCATCGCATCGCCAAAGCATCGGAATCCAATCGGATCGGGCCGGCCAGCATCGACGTCGAACAAAAACATCGAATCGGAGCGAGATGGGCCCTGGAATGTGAAGAGAATCCGGGCAGAGACGGGAGGGGGAACTACGCCGCGAGCGAGAGCTGGACGAGCACACAGCAACAGAAAGCAGAGCAACCACAACACAACCCCCAACGTTGCCTCCGAGAGGCGGGCTCGGCCACACGCAAGAGCGACCCTTGGAAAGTGACCTTCGGTGCGCGGCGTTGGGGGGGCCGCGTGGAGACCAAACACAAGCGCGCAAGGCCCTACTATCGCATCGCGTTCGGCGACCGGGGGACCCCAATAGGCCCGCACCAAGGGTCACTCCGGCGAAAGGACACTCTTGCGTGTCGCCGAATGGCGGACGACGTGCCGCCGCTGTGCCCGACGCACGCCAGCTGGAGCCCCGCGAGCTGGCCGCAGGACGCCGGCCGCGGCCCGCGCAGCTCGTCTCGGGCCGGAGCCGCGCGCGCGGCGCCTCGACGCCGCCCCAGCCGGCGCGGTCGATGTCGACCGCCTGCCCCGGCTGCACCTGTCGGGGGGTCCGAGACATCCCCCTCCTCCTCCTGCTCCTCCTCCTTCTCCTCCTCGTCCTCCTCGTCCACGAAGCATGTGAGGGGTGCGCTGAACTAGTGTAGAGAAGTCAGAAGGCATGGTGGCTTTTGCGTTGGGGCCCTAGGTGGAGTTCCCTCTATGTGAGGGGTGCGACGAACCGTTGTGGAGAAATCATTCTGGCCCTGGCATTGTTGAGCCTTAGGTGGAACTCCCAATGGGGTCACGAGACGTGTGAGGGGTGCGCCGGAATGATGTGGAGAAGGCATGGACCTTAGGTGGAGCTCCGTCAAGGGTCACGAAGGCATGCAGGCCCTGGCACTCGGGCCTTAGGTGGAGCTCCCTGCGGGTTTAAGAAACGTGTGGAGAAGGCGTGCTGGCCCTGGTACTGGGGCCGTGGGTGGAGCTTCCTCTGGGACCACGAAACGTGTGAGGGGTCGCGGCCCTCAAGGCCGCGACCTCCTGCTCCTGCCCCTCCTGCTCCTGCTCCTGCTCCTGCTCCTCCTCCTCCTCCTCCTCCTCCTCGCGTGCTCGCCATGGTGGAACTCGCGTCCCTCGAGGCAAACCACGGGCACGGCTCGGGAGACCCGCGCGTGCGGCGACGTTGGGCGCAGGCAGGGAGTCGCCGCCGCCCCGCGCCCCGCGTGGCTGACGACGCTGCGGCAGCGGCGGCGGCGGCGGCCCCGCAGGCGGGGCAGGGGCCGGCGCGCGCCGCGCCAGGCCCGTAAGTGCGACCGCCGCGGCCAGGGCCCTGTTCGCCAGCAGCGCGTGGCGGGGGCACGTCGCCTCCCAGGGCCCTGCCTGGGTGGCCTGCGTGGCCTGCGGGTGCTGGGCCCCGCAAGGGGAGCGCCTCGCGTGCCGCCCCTGCAGCGGGTGGGCGCCGTACCTGCCCGCGCGGGCGGCCGGCTTGCTGCTCTTGGACGCCCCGCGCGCCGGGAGTCGCGAGGCGGCGTGTCAGGCGTCGGTGAAGGGGCCCCTGCGCCTGGGCGCGCTCGACTCATTGGAGTGACTTACTCACGCGACGGCTGCCCTGGTCAGCCGCTGTCCCGCGCGCCAGCCGGGCGCGTTGTGTCGTCTTCCGTGGTCCTCCTCCTTCTTGGCCCCATCCTATTCTCGGGCTCCTGCGCTCCCTGTTTGTCACCCGCTCTCGGCGCTGGGCTCCCTCTGCATGGTAACAAAAATGTGAGTGGTGCGCCGGAATGATGTGGAGAAGGTCTGTCCACGCAGTCACTGGGGCCTCCGATGGAGCTCCCAGTGTGGCCACGAAACGTGTGAGGGGTTCGCCGAATGGGTGTTGCGAAGGCATGCTGGCCCTGGCACTGGGGCCTGAGGTGGAGCTCCCTCTAGGGTCACGAAACGTGTGTTGGGTGCGCCGAAGTGGTGTAAAGAAGGCATGCGGGATCTGGCACTGGGGCCTTGACTTGGCTGGAGCTCCTCTGTGGCCGCGAAGGGTGTGAGGGGAGCGCCGTAATGGTCTGGAGAATGCATGCGGGGCCTAGCACTGGGGGCCTCGATTGAGTTCCCTCTGGGGCGAAGAGACGTGTGAGGGGTGCGCGGAAAAGGATTGGAGAAGGCGTGCTGTCCCTGGCACTGGGGGCCTAGGTTGAGCTCCCTCTGGGGCCAAGCGTGCAGAAGGCGTGCTGGCCATGGCACTGGGGCCTCAAGTGGAGCTTCCCCTGGGTCCACGAAGCGTGTGATGGGTGCGCCGACATGATGTGGAGAAGGCATGTGGGCACTGGCACTGGGGCCTCTGGTGGAGCTCCCCCTGGGGCCGCGAAGCGCGTGAGGGGTGCGCGCGCCGGAGCACAGACTACGGAGGGCAGAGGCAGGGAGGGGGAGGAGGGAGGAGACGAGGGGCGATGCGCACTCGAGACGAGGACCCAAGGCCACAGCATGGTTGGGAGTGACGTCGGGGGTCTGGGGGAGGGGGGGGGACCAGCAATCATGGCTCGTGGCACGTGCGCGGCCGAGGGGGGTGGGGGGCAGTGGGCAAGGAGGGCGCGTGCTAAACCAGAAAAAGAGAGCCACAACATCTGGGGAGACGTCGTGGCCCTGGCCCTGGTATCACCCCCGTAGTCATTACCCCCTTCTGTCGGAGTAGTACGAGTTGAGACAACGGCAGCTCAAGATTGGTCCCCCGAACTCTCCCGGCGTCCAAACGCACCAGTTTCCCGAGCGGCGTCAACCCGTGGCGACGAGGGACCCCTCCCCCCGAAGTCCCACTGCCGTTGTCTCAACTCGCCCCCCTCAGACGAGTTCGGGCGTCCAGGAGGGAGGCGTCCGAGAGGAGGGTTCGCAAACCATAGACGGAGGTATGTGCTCGGACGAGGGGGAGACCAGAGGACGTATTGAAAGACGGAGAGAGGCCATGAGATCGGGGAGACGTCCTGGCCCCGGCCAAGATATCCACACACGATACGAGGCGCTCCCAGACGGTCCAGATGTTCTGGTGCTGGCCTCGCCGAAAACAATGCACGCGTCCGAGGGATGCCAAAACACCGGCGTGTTGTAAGATCCGACGCCGGGTAGACCCGGATATCCTCAATATTGGCGCAGTAAATGAACGACAGACGGATCGAAAAAACGAGCCGGGCGAGGTCAGCGAAACGCAAGTGCGAAATATGTGCAACCCGGAAACACGGGTATGAAACACATGCGGAAAAAGTACGAACGCACATCCAAAGTGCAAAACAATAAAGAAAAAGTACGATTGCAACTCCGAAGTGTGAAACAAGTGTGACAAAACATATCTTTCACACACTTCCCTCACACTTCGGATGTCTGAACTTCTGCACTTCGTACTTCTGCACGGCACATTTCTTGAAGTCGTACTTCGGCGTGGTACTTCGGCGTGGTGGCTTACAGTCAAGCCGCATCATAAAGGCGCACAATGAGGATGCAAGGACTTTGGAAGGCTTTTAAGTACTTTGCGGGCGGGGCGCGGCCAGCAAAAGCGGCCAAGGATGGGCCGAAGGGGGAGGATGCAAGGGTAGCCTTGAAAAGTTGGTCATCTTTAATATGCGGGTTGACTGTACGCGAGCCGCCATCGCGGCACGCGCACATAGGGAACGACGGCGCTCGCGCGCGGCCTTGCGCGGGCAACTTATGCACGCGCGAATATCCGCGCAGCCGAAGCCCGTTTGTCCACGACGCTCACGTGCTTTCCCTGCTGGTGCACAAGCAACCTGAGCGTGCACGTGCACAAGCAACCTGAGCCTGCACGGCTCGCGCTCTCACTCTCTCTCTCTCTCTTATTCGCCGCCACCGCCGAGTGTTTTCGGAGGCCTTCAAAAGTCTTTGGAGGCCTTCTCTGAGAGGCAAGCGAAGCGATCTCGCTTTTGACAACCCCTGCTTCCAAACGTGAACCAGGCAGTAGAAAGCTACCCGCAGGGTGGCCCGCAAAGCAGAGCCGTCAACAAATTATCCTGGCGAGGGACCCATCCACATGCAGGTGTAACGCAATACAGGTGGAAACTCATGGAACTGGTTAGCAAACGGACTAAGGCGTGTGTGGGCAGGGCGGAACGACGTTACTATGGGGTCGAAGTCGCAGAGATCAGCCGCAACAGGCTACATATGGATGCAGCCCGTTACGGATGATCTGCGCGTCTGTCTGCGCGGCCCTGGAGAGCAGCAGGCGGCGGGGCCTTCGGTGGAGTCACGCATGCGTCTCGTGCTACTGGAGCCTTCGGTGGAGAGACCACCTGTGGGGACAAAGCGTGTGAGGGGTGTGTGGGAATGGGCGCGGTCACGCATGCGAATCCTGCAACTGCGGTCTTTGGTGGAGGCCCCCCATGGGGCCAAGAAGAGTGTGAGGGGTGCTCCGAAATGGTGTGGAGCAGGTAATTATGCGCACGCAGACGCTGGTGTTGAGAAGGCATGCGAACGCAGCCGCCAGGGCCTCAGATGGAGCTCCCTGCGTGTGAGGGGTGCGCCGACAAGGTGTGCAGAAGGTATGCGTTAGCAGCCCCTGTGGCCCTGTGGCCCTGTGGCCTTCTGTGGAGCGCCGCATGGGGCCACGAAAAGAGTGCGCCAGAAGGGCGTAGAGAAGGCATACGAACGTAACCACTAAGCTAGTCGGTGGAGCTTCCCATGGGGCCACGAAGCGTGAGGGGTGCGACGAAGTGGTGTAAAGAAGGCATGCGGGCCCTGGCACTTGGGCCTCAGGTGGAGACCCCTCTGGGGCCACGAAACGTGTGAGGGGTGCTCCGAAATGGTGTTGAGAAGGCCATGCGAAAGCAGCCGCTGGGGCCATAGGTGGAGCTCCCTATGGGGCCACGAAGCGTGTGAGGGGTGCGCCGAAAGGGTGTGGAGAAGGTATGCGTGCGAACACAGCAGCCACTGGGGCCGTCGGTGGAGCTTCCCATGGGGCCACGCAGCGTGAGGGGTGTGCAGAAGCAGAGATCACGGAAAGCAGAGGCAGATGGGGGGAGGCGGTTATCGGGAGGAGGAAGGAGAGGACGCGGGGCGACGCGTATTCAAAACGAGGACCCAATTCAACACAAGATGGTTGGGAACGACTCGGGAAGAAAAGCCGGTCCTGGGTCCTGGGGTAAGAGTCGAGTCCACGTTATGAACAAATCGCCCAGTGTGAGACAAATGGAACGCCCAAATCTCAGGGGACGCTGGGACAGACACAGTCCCCCGAATAGGGGGACCTTGTCTGTCCCGTCGCGCCCCTATCCGCGTCGGATCCGTATCGAATCCATGTCGGCCTCGTCGGATCCGTGTCGAATCCCGCATCGAACCCGCGTCGGGCACAAGAGAAGACACCCATTTTGGAGGACAGGCGAGGTCCCCCGAAGATGCCACGTGACAAGGGGTGTGGGGAGGTGCTTCCGGCGAGGGGCCACTCTCACGCGCGCAGAGGCAAGGCGAACCAGGCCCTCGCCGCTCCAAGGGAGCGGCCGTGTTGGGGAAACCAGAAGGGACACACAGCTACTCCCCGGACCTCTCCCGGGGTGCGTTCTGGCCAGAACTCCGAGGCGAGTCCAGCGGTGGCGACGAGGGCCTCCCAGGAGGCCCACAAAAGGCAAAACGCTGCAGGGGCAGGCGGTATGGACACCTTTTCCTCCTCCGAGGCCGCGTGCGATGGGGGGGCGCGCGCTCGCGCGCGCGGGCGGGCACCCCGGCGCCCAGCGGTCGCGGCTCCCTCCAGCCGTCCTCGGAGGGCCTCCTGCAGGCCGCGCGGGCGGGGCCCCTTCTCGACGGCGGCGGCGCAGCCAGAAGCTGGCCGAGCCGGCGGCGGCACCGAGGCCGAGCGAGCCCCGACACCCAGGGTCTTGATTTTGAGACGAAGCCAGGACGAGGATGGATTCGGGTGAGGATGATAAATCGAGAGAATCTCTGAGATCTGGCAGGTCTGAAAGATGTCTCGGGCGCCGCGGCCTTCTCAGAGCGGTCCGGAACGCTCTGACAGCGTTCCGGAACGCTCTGGAACGGATTTGGCCTCGTCCTATTAGCCCCGCCCGACCGAGCGAGCCCAGACATCCAGCGTTTCGATTTTTCGTCGACCCTAGGGCCCCCAACTGCTCGGTCACTTCCCTGGGTCCAGCTTTGCATCCCGAGTCGTTTCCGGACGGTCCCTGGGCCCAGTGAGGACCCCGAGGCCGAGGACTGTGAGAAACCTCCGTCTCGGTGTTTCCGACACGCCCAGTTGTCTGCGAAGCCGACAGGCCGCGGCTCGCGCGTCGGCCGCGGCCGCCTGTGCCCTTATGGGCTGCACGCGGCGGGCGGCCGGGAATGGCGCGGGCAGCGCAGCAGCGTCGAGGCGGGCGACCGAGCCGCAGCACCCGACCGCGGACAGCCATGGTGATCGTCGCGCCGTGACTGCGCGATCCACCGGCGGCCCTTCGGGGTACTCAGGGCACCCCTGGGAGCGCTGCGAGGTACAGCTGCTGGACGCCGCCCTGGGTCGCGAACTCTCCTGGCACCCTCCAAACACCTCCGGACCTTTGAAGAGGGGGTGGACGCCACTGGCGGCCCACCATGCCCCGCGTCTCGGGAAATCGAGCCGCCGGGGGCCCTCGCCAGGGCCCTGGGGCCGTGCAGAGGCGGCTCGGGACGACGTTGGCCCTGGGGAGAGGGGCGGGACGTCGGAGAGAGCGCGTGTTCGTTTTCACACGCATGCACACATGCGGAGGGCGGCGAGGCTCCGCCCCAGAGGCTGCACGAGGAGAAAGCCCGAGGCATCGAGAGGGGAAGCCGCACAGGGGGGGGGGGGGGGCTGCACCGAGGGGACTGCTCGAGAGGGGGGGCCGCGCGGGAAGAAGGGGTGGGCTGCGCCGCCGAGGGGGGCCGCGCGAGGCCGCACGGGCACGGGGCGGGCTGCACGAAGAGGGCCGCACGAGGGGGCAGAAGCGGGCCAGGCGGAGCCTGACGGGGGGCAGCCGCGGCGCAGGGAGGCGCGCCCGCCCCCCCCCGGAAAAGAGCCCCGAAACCCGACCCCCGACGTTAGGACATGTACAAACCACGACGAAGACGAGGACGAGGACGAACACAGCGCGGACGAGCGCGAAGGGGCGGACGAGCACGAGGACGGCGCGAGGGAGGATTTTTTAACATCGACGCAAAGCTGCCAACTATTCAACCATGGGCTGGCGAGGCCACGTGGAGGGACTCGTACTCATGCCGCTCTGCCCTTCCTCTGTAAGCTGGACAAAAAGTGCACACGCGTAATCTGTTTAATCTGAGCCAGACTCTGAACCTTCAGGTCTGCTGTGAGAGTTCTGGCCGCTCGACGCGGCGGCCTCCAGCCTGAGTGCCGAAGCGACATTTCTAAGTGCGGAGGCAGCGTCGGGAGAGGGCGGCACTGCACTGGCCTCGAGACTGGCGCCAGGATCGAGCCCAGGGGCAAACGCTGGCACCACAGGCGCATCAACAATCCTCAGATTCTTGTCTCTGGGATGGAAGCCTGACGAGATCTTGTTGAAATTGGTTTTGCCGTGTCTGTTGAGCTCCGTGAGGCACCTGCCAGCAAAATTGCTCTTCACTAGCGCTCCCTGGTGGAGGAATGCCCCGCAGCTCAGACACAAGAAACAATCGGAACCGTCCGACAAGTGAAAAAGCGCCAGCTTGTGACCGTTAGACTCGGCCGCGTCCATATCATGCTGGCGGGGTCCAGCACACCTGCCTGGCTCAGGCCTCACCACCGACCTGGAGCCCTTCCTACACAGTGCACCGCCAGACATTCCCGAACCTTTGCCAATCGTGCTGCTCCACTGGCTGCACCTCTTTGGGTGCTCTGGATGGCGCCTTGAACTCAACCCCATTCAAGTCAAGTCTCGGCCACTTCGGAAGCAGCTTGGACGGCGCGAGGGAGGACGACGACGGCGAAGATGAGGACGAGAAGGACGAGGAGCACGAAGACACAGACCCCCGACATGATGACTTGTTCACAACGTGGACCACCAAAGGTCTCGACCCATTCCCCGGGACCGGCTTTTCATCCCGAGCCGTTCTTTGAGGGTCCCAGGCCCTGTAAGGGCATCTGGAGGCAGAACATGTTCAAAAACTTGTGTCTGGTGTTGAAGGGATCTGGGAAACGCCTCCCCAAACTGCCACGACCGTAAAAGGCGCCGGAGAGACGGACGTTTCTCTGCCCCCAGGGCTTGAAGAAGGACCTGGAGGGAGAGCTTATTGCAACATCGTTGATGCGTCTTGGGTTTGCACTAGTCCTCCTCCGCCTCCTCCTCCACACCCTCCTCTTGCTTCTCCTAACCCACCCGCCCGATCACTCTACTTGCTCTGCCTCCCCCTTCCCTTCTTCCTCCTGCTCCGCCGCCCCTCTCTCCTTTGATGAAAATCGGCCCCACGACCCTTCCAGGGGCGCGCTCTGACAAGAAATGCGTGGCGAATCCAGCAGTGGCCACGAGAGCACCCCCTGGAGACCCGAAAGACGCCAAAGAGGCAGGACCCATCTCCCTCCAGACACCCGACGATTTCATGATTTGGATCCGCGGTCCAAGAAGTCTTGACCCTTGGGGGTATCTTTTAATCCCGAATATCTACTCGATGCTCAAGGGTTTCGCCAGTAGCTCCTGAGGGCCGAAACCTTGGGAAAAAATGACTCAACAAATCAGCCCATGGAATGTCAAGGTCCCTGCAAGATCGGGTCCTGGCAAAAACGTGTCCTGGACCCCGTGGCCCTTCCCCAAAAACCAGGTTTTGATCCAGAGTCGTTTTCTGACAGCCCAGGGGCCCGAGGAGGGCCCCAGGAGTCCTCAACTGGCCAACAGCCTGAAGGCCCGTCTCCTTCGGGGCCACTCTCCTTCATGGTGACCTGGATCTCGGCCAACCCAGGGGCCCCCGAACTCCCGACTCGTCCCCCGCGGCTGGCGTGTCATCGCGAGTCGTTGCCGGAGGGCGAAAACTGCAGAAGGAATCCGCCATATGTTTTGTCAACACGTTGGAGGTATGAGTGTCGTCTCAGAGTGGAGACGAAGTCAAGACGATGGCACATATAGAGAGACGAGAAGTCGAGAAGCTCTGACAGCAGCAGAGATCGGGAAAATGTGTCCGGCGCCGCGGCCGCTCCATGGCTGTCTGGAACGTCAGGGCCCCGTAGCCCCGGACACGCTAGACCCGGACACCCAACATCCCTCGAAACCAAATTTTCCAAACGGCGGCACGAACGAAATACTGCACTGCAGCATTTCCGAAATAAACCCGGACACAGGCCTCAAAAGCCTGCAAGGCCCCCCTAAACCCGGACACGAACCCGAATCCTGCAGTGCAGCAAGCAAAACATGCACGGGTGCTGAAAAACGTGACCTTGCAGGAAAGGATGTCGCTTCCTTGGTTTTCCATGTCCTGGTTTGTCTGTGTCCTGGTCTCCGGGGGCCTGAGAACGCTCTGAGAGCGTGCATCCGGAATCTTCTTATATCGGAGGCGACGAGGGGCGAATAACCCAGGAGCGGGCATTACACGCTTTCGGCGGGGCAGTATCGCTCGATGCACGTAGACCACGGGCGCCACTGGATGCACGTATTGTTCCCCCTGGGCTGTCTGTGCAATGGTCCCGCCTCGAACCACTCCCCTTCTGATGAATCCTTGGATACTGCCCTCCTCTATTCCCCTGACGATGTGCTGGTCACTCTCGATCTCAATTTTGGGGGAGTGCGGGCAGTGGGGGGAGCGCGTCGCTGGACACACGATGACACTGCACAGGAACTTGCTTGTCGGTGCTGCGGCTCAGACCGCAAGTCAGTAGTCTAGCAGCCTTTCGCTGCTATGCGAAAGTTTGAGCCAAGACAGTTTCGGAGGAAACGTCTTGGTGAACGTGTGAAATACTTAAAAAGAAGCCTCTGGGGCCTGTAGTTATCTAGGGAATCTTGGGGATACCATTAAGCATGGCTAGGCTACAAGACAGACAAATAAAAAGGAACCTGCTACGCCAGGAAAGGCGAAATTACATAATATGAATAGTATGTACGGGGTTCCTTAGAGCCTTGTCTTAAACTCGGGCCTGGATGGGCCATCTGTCGCAAGAGGGCACAAGGAGGTAGGCTCTGGGATTGTGAACTGCACTCACAAAAAAATCAATGTTCCGGCATCGAAGCTTGGCCTTACCTCCTGGATTCACCGAAAGCACAGATCGCGCGGTAGGGCGCACCCGACCCCAGAGGGCCTCATGTCCGGCAAGTCCAGCCTGCTGGGACTCGCCGTCGCGCGAGAAGTACACCAGAGCCCCCACGGCGGTGTCGGGGTCCAGCGGGGTGCCGTGATCTAGCTTGTCGATGCCCTCGGACTTGCGCTTGCGTGCAGACCGATGGAGAGGATCATCCACTAGCCGCCAGCGCTGTCCGCTTCTGAAGATCTCCAGCAGGGCCTTGGCCGCGCGGTCTTTCGTGAGACCGTCGGCTAGCATGGCATCGCTGTGAACCCAGCGAATATGGATCCCTGTCTGCTGGTTCTGCCGCCTGATGCCCAGGCCTTCGATACTGGTCCTCTTATCTCGAAGACCCAGTCCAGCAGACTCACTCTTCTCGATGGCGCCGTACCCGGACTTCCCTTCCCGTCTGTGACCAGTACTCCAGGGCAAGTTGAAATGGCGTCGTTCACGGCCTGCTTGTTGGTGTAATCCACGTGGCCGCACTCTTGCTCGTAGATGAACAGTCGCACGTGGCTGATCTCGTCGGGCGTCTCCGCCATCATCTGTACCTCGGCACTCGC